ATCTTTGAGGGGGTGGAGTGCGAAGTTATCAGCTCATTAGTTCTAAAATATAAATAAGATAGTAGGCACAGACTTTTGGATGGTCTCTTAGTGCAATTAAAGATTCAGTGATTCATTTATGTGTCACATTAATGCTATAAAAACATTTCAAAGGGGACCAACAACACCTCCTTCATGAATCACCACCTTATGGTGGTGGAGGGGTTTGTGTGTACCAGTGACAGCAGGGGCTATGTTGTTGGAGGCCTTTGCCCCTAATAGGGTCTCCCCAGGCAAACTGATTTAAGTGCCCCCCATGAAAGAAAGTCAAAGAAAAATCAAAGGACCAGCTCATGCTGTCCAGGTCAGGATTACCAGGCCTACACTGTGGAGCCCAGCCTCAGGGAGCCCACCTCCAGGCCGGTCTTCGTCTATGAAGTGCAGCCCTTAGAGCTGGCGTGGCCGTCTGTATCCTTAGCACCAGCAGGAGGCGCTATCAGGGTCAGGTGCAAAGTGTGTTGGGCAGAAGTGTCACGGTTCTGGGTCAGTTTGACCCAGTATTTTCAGTTCTCACGTCTTGGTTTGATTTTGTATTTTTGGGTATTTTCTTGATCTATGGTATGATGATGATGATGATGGTTATTATTTAGTAGGTTTTAGTTCATTCTGGTTTCGTTCTGCCCGTGTAAAGTCTGTGTTTCTTTGTCTACGTCTTTGTGAATTGTTTCCTGTTTTATTGTGAAAGGTTGTGCCTCATGTCAGTGTGTCTAGCTTTGCTTTTGCTTTTTTTGCTTTTTGTCCCAGCAATAAAGCTGCGCTTTAAGTTTGACTTCCATGTTGAGTCCTGCATTTTGGGCCCACCACTCCTGCCTGCCTGCCACACAGCCAACCCTGACAAGAAGCTTAGATTATACTCAGTTGCTGACACAGACATGGAGAGCTGGAGGTCCGACAGCAGTGGTGTCCAAACCCAGGCCTCGAGGGCCGGTGTCCTGCAGGTTTTAGATGTGTCCATCACAGCTGATTTAAATGGCTAAATGACCTCCTCAACAAGTTTTCCAGAGGCCTGGTAAGGAACTAATCATTTGATTCAGGTGTGCTGACCCAGCGTGATCTAAAACCTGCAGGACACCGGCCCTCGAGGCCTGGAGTTGGCCAAGCCTATTCTACAGCCATCAGGGTTATCCTTGGTTATGGTTGTACCCCTTGAAGTTTACTGCAGCATCACTGGGAGACAAGTGAAGACTGGCAGACAATTTCAGAAGATGGATGGATCGATGGATGGATGGGTGGATGGCACCACAGAGGTCCGGTTCAGGGACTGCAATGACCTGAGGAGTCTAGCAGACAGCTAATGGCTCTTAATGGATAACTTTAAGCCTTAGAACATTTTAAACAGAAGCGTTATAAAAACACTCCTGTACAGTTTTTATAAAGGGGGAGATTAGCTATAGAGACCAGCTGTAAACAGTCTGTGGAGACTGATTCACTTACACTTGGTTTGCACTTTGTATTTTCAGCCCTGCGTTTGCCATCGATGAGATAATCAGGGGAAAAGTCTGCCAGCATCTGAATGGAGATTTCTGGAAACTCTTTAATCTAAATGTAAAATCTGACCAGAAGTATTATGATAATAATTTTAATTTAAACTGGCGGCTTAAAGGATGAATTTATAACTGAAAAACCTAGTCTGAGGCCTTTTAATAGTTAATAATTAATAATCCATTTCAAACGAACTGTAACCTTCATGTCGCTGCGTTTAAAATCACTCTGGAGTTTTTGTTCACCTGTTGTTGTGGTGTGTTTTTGTGGGTCTGCGTTACACAATGAAGGTGAAAGTCTTTTCCGTGTACCTGAACACTACGCGGGGAGGTGCTGACAGCAGACAGGAAGAAGGGAAGAGGAAGGAAATGGAAATTAGCTCGTCGGCAGTGTCTACCTGCTGGCAGGACATCTGACATCTCACTGCGCCGCCACCAGGACTTGAAACTACCTCTGTTACCTGCCTGAGCTCGGTGACACACTACACACAGAGGCTGCTAAAACTTTAGAGCAAAGTGGGGAACAAGGACAGAACAGTATTTATGAAGCAGGTTGGAGGCTGGAGAGCCGATTTCACATGATGTTTGTGTGGAGGAATTAGGGGGAGGAGGCACCATGGTAACAAGGAAGCTGGTGCTTCTCTTATCTATGGAAAAGGTCCATCTTTACCTGTAAGGTTCACACCAACACGCTTCATGTGGTTTGCATTCATGAAAAAGTAAGAAAATGCTCTGGATGTCATCGCTTCATCAGGTAGTGGACTTCTGCTTACACTAGAGCCCACCACCATGAAGCCCACTGTGACACAGCCACAGAAGACTGGGGTGCAAACTCCAGGTCGGGAATGAGTTGCTGCTCCAAGTGCAGGAGTTCAAATACTTCAGGATCTTGTTCACAAGTGAGGGGAGAGCGGAGCGAGCGACTGATAGATGGATAGATATGTGAATGTCAGATGTGACGAAGAGAGAGACGTGATAGTGAAGCTTGCTGGTCAATCTGCGGTCCTACCCCCACCTATGGTCATGAAGGCAGATAGAGGTGGATGGAAATAAATATCCTCAGAAGCGCAACTGGACTCCTAGACTGCTGCCCGGTTAAGAGATGAAACTGGAAACCCACAAAACTCCTATACCACATAAGTGAAGGACCAAATCCCCACCAGTAAAGTGTACATTTTAGGACATCCTCAGGTCTCAGGAAAAAAGTCGTCAGGTCTCTGAGACCCGACGACTTTTTTCCTGAGACCACTTCCCAGTTTTACTTCTGAAACGGTGCCTCTCTAAGGCTCCTTTTATATCCAATCACTAACCTGCTGCCAATGAACCTGATTGGCTGCATATGTTCCTCCAGCTGTTTCTTTTTAGGACCACTTACCTTTCCTGTCTTTTGTTGCCTACCACGATCTCTCCAGCAGTGAAAATAACATGAATAATTTAAAAAATGTAAAATTTAATTTGGATAATTAGGAATTCCAGAAATCACACATGCAGTAGACTGAGTTTCCCCACTTCCTTTCATAGGAAGTTTAAATCCCACATTAATGAAGATAACTGGAATATTTTGAGGAATATTTCTATGTAAACATCATAATTTGCTGTTAATCTAATTAAAAGCATATTGGAAGGAGAAGAGGAGGTGGCAAAGTGGAGAAAATGAGCAATAAAAAATTGTGAATGATTTAAATGATTTCCTTTGATGGGTACAGGATATTATACATACACAGTGTGGAAGGACGAGACGCACGGGCGTGTTTATCAAAGGAAACGTGTGATCGCAAGTCTAATGTGCCAAAAAGCCCAAACACGCTGCAGGATCTGAACATTGTTTCGATCTTCTGGTTAATTAAAAATGCAGTAATTAGCTGAATGATGACTTTGAAATAAAGGAGATAATTTGAAGTGAATGAGGAGGCTGTTACCAAGCTGGGAGCTGAAAAATGGGGGGAAAGGGAATCTGGCATTGAAAGTAAAGCTCTGAGGTTTTTGTATTCAGCCTTCAGCAGACGACACCAACAGCCATCTCTGAATTATGCTGTTAACACTTGTCAGCTCAGTTAATTGGCTGGGTCGCTGCTTTAAGATTGATACTGGGAGAGCAGAGTGAGCAATTAAAAAGGAAAGATAATTTAAAACTATAAAAAAATAAACCTGTAACCAGTTGGCAAGAGCAGGCAGGTCGGGAGAAGTCGCGGCTCTGGAGATGTCGGTATTTTGTGACTGAACACAATCCCAGCTGCGGTGGAGGGTGCTGTCATTTTCTCTTTTCACCTCCAATCATTTCAATTTTACTTCCAGCATGGAAAGTTGCCCACGCTCGCCGATCCCCGTCAGAGGGGAGAAAAAAAGCCAGCCGCTGGAGAGAGGCGGCAACAAACCCACTCAGCTTGTGTTTGTATCACACATATAAATGGTTTCCATCAGAACAAGCACACAGGACGGGGCTCTTTAACTTATCTGCCTTTTTGTTCTCTGTGCAGCCCGTCCCACTGTTCTGGTCCAAAATCAGCCGTAATGAAAGCAACATCATCAAAACTCAAAGCCGACATGGCGAGAAAACTTTTCCAGAGGAAACCAAGCTTGGTAGTTCGGTAGTTTTTGGCGCGCTGTGATGTAAATGATGCTTTAAAGGAGCTCATTTGTGTTCTTTTCAGAACAACATTTAAATCGAGCTGAGATTTTATCCAAACCGATGCAGACGTGTCGGGAGAAACGGTTAAAGCAACGAGCTAAAGAGGTTAGCACAGACGTCGCTATTGCCCCAGTTAGACCAGAACAGCACAAAGCATAAAAGATGGCTGCAGGAGGCCGTAAGTCTTTGTCAAAGGAGTCCAACATGAGTGGAAGAGTCAGCGAAGCTCACTTCTGTCCGATGACAGTGATACTGAGGTGGGGCGTGGCTGTTTTATCTAACGTTGTTGGAATGAAACTGAATAAACTCTCATATCATGGGGAAATGTATTCAAACTGGTTATCAGAGGGAAAGTTTGATATTTAAGGGCCTCACAGCTAACACTAACTGGTTTAACCAGCTGTTGTGTAGCCGGCTCTGGTCAGCTGTCTGGAGACGGGAGGGTCACATGTCTAATCTGCTGGCAGTAAGTAATCCTGACAATATCGGGAATGAATGAGCGTGTTCATGTGTTACAGTCAGCTTCAAACTAGCTGCCAAAACAGCATAAATAAGTATTTGAAAAGCTAAGAACAAAATTCTAAAACTGAAAAAACCCAAAACAAATGTAATCGATAAAAATAAAAAAATATTGAGGGATGCTTGAAAAAAGGCTAATTGATTGACAGCTGGCAGCTTGTTTCTATTCTTGGACTCTACTAGAGTAGCTTTGCATGATTCCCTGCTTCAGTCTCATTGGTTCTGCCCTGTTTCACAGCACAGGAAGTCGGGAACAATGGACTTCCTGCTATCAGAAGTTCACTGATGGAGAAAGTTTGTGTCACGTGCTCTGAATGTCTCGTGTGACTTACCTCGTTGACGAACACCCAGTGACTGTCTTTGGAGGCCAGATTTGTTTCCACTGCCTGCAGACACACAGAGACACAGAGACGAGGGGTTAATAACAAGGACCGCCCAAAGCCGATTTAATCACACGCCGCTTCTCAGAGGCTGACGCAGCATTTTATCACACTTCAGGTTCAGCAGCCAGATCTTGCAGTGTGGCCTCCGAGGAGCAGCTGCTGTACTGACACCACAGCTGCCTCGTCTGCCTTTGTTCTCGCCCGTGTCATTGCGGTGTGCACGTTTGAAAAGTTCAAGTCGGCCTCCTCCGCTGTCACGGCTCGTCCTGCCAAAATGTCGAGCAACAGAGGCTTTTGAGAAAGCGAGTGGTTTGCACTTAGCAAAGCCCCCGGAGCTCGGCCGGTCCTCTGCCACCATGTGATAATCCTAATAACATGCAGCATCCTACAGATGACAGCCAGCCTCGCAGCTGGCAGCACAAAGTGGAGCAGAGCTCAGTCCTGCAGATCAGCCTGGACCAGCTGGAACACGTGCACAGAGGCAGCTGCTAGTAATGCAAACGCCCCCAAAACATGACAGAAGTTATCTCAAATAATGACGCGATATCATGAAGAAGAAGTAAAATCACTGTAAAACACCCATAATGCTCATTGCTTCATGATTCAGTTTTAAAAATAAACCTTTATTCTCCCTGAGTGACGCTTAATTCTGACATTTACACTTGGCTCCACCCGAGATGGTTGAACAGCAAACCCTGTATTGTCTCAGAGGTGAAAGGTTGATGGAGGCAGGGATGTATCTGAGTGCGTGCCCACACGGCGCCACACGCCAGCATATGGTCTGACTGCAGAGCCGTGTGGGTGTTGTTCTGCCTTCTGGCTCCATGTTTAGAAGCAGCATATTTAAACCAACGATCTCACAGAGTCGTTAGCTAATGATCGAAATTATATGAAGTAAAAAATAATATTTCACAGAGATAATAAAAGAACGAAAGGAAACATCTGGTCTGAAGTATGACTGAACACACACGTGCTGTACGTCTCAAAATGTGATCATGCTACTGAATGAAAAATGAAATGAGAACATTCCTGGTTTATTCTTTTTATTAATGCTTCGTAACAAATATCAAAGTTTGTTGGCCGAAGAAAAACTGCTGCTGTATCCTGATAAAGGTTTGAGTGTTTATCTGCGTAGGTCTTCAGTCCAGGTCACACTAGTCCTGAGAAGAACTGGACTTCTTTAAGTTTCACCTCTCATCCAATCAGCTTCTTCAGTCCGAGGTATTTAGCCTCTCGTGGGGGTTGTCCTCTGAAGCCATCGATGTCCACTGAATGCCTACCAGTGACCAGACGTGGTGGCTTACGACACCAGCAATCCGCCACTGAATCCCTCCCCAGGTGCTTCAGCCTGAACAAGTCTAGTTGCCTCCTGTAGGGAGTGCAGAGGTGTTCACACCTCAATGGAAAGCAGCTGTCAAAAAGTTGCGTGTTTCATTACACACCAAGCGTGCCTCAAAAAATGGCACGAAGTTCACATTTTTTTGAGATGCAAAAATAAAAAAAAAAAGAAATCGTTGAGCTTCTGCAAATAAATCGTCTCCAAAAAACACTGAAAAAAAAATGAAGTCGATATCAAATGATGAAGAGCTGGTGCTGATGTTTCTGAACAAGATCAATAAGTAATATTGGGAAAAAAACAAAAACTAAAAAATGCCGCAAAATCTTACAGCATAATTATGCAGTCACTGCAAACGGCCGAGCCCGAAAAAGTCTGGTGTGTAATGGCCTTCTTGGCTAAGTTGGGGGGACCACCAAACATTTTTAAAGCACTTTTCAGAGGATAGCCAAGAGCTAGCTAGCAGTAAACAGCCAGCTAGCAGTAAACAGCCAGCTAGCAGTAAACAGCTAGCTAGCAGTAAACAGCTAGCTAGCAGTAAACAGCTAGCTAATTTTTCAGCCATTCAAAAGATATGTTGCTAAAAAAATCACATATCTCATCAAATGCAACAAAGAGCACAGAAGATTATATTTTTAAATAGATATAAACACAAATTTTTATCATGTTACCTATGCTAATGCTAATATGTCTGCATGTAGCATTCTAAAAGCCTGTACCTGACTGCAGTGGTGATTCACTGATATCACCTGCTGCCTGAAGCCTTTTCAGACCTTTTTCACGTGTCACATCAGGTAATTTCATTTCCAGTGGCTCCGTTCCAAGAGGCTAACCGTCAGGCATGATGATGAGCCAGCATGCCTGAAACTAGCTCACCTGAATGGGGAACGGTGCCAAACCTGCCTGCTGTTCAAAGGCTCTGCGTGCTGGATTCCTGTCATAGCGCCGAGCTACACCTGAATACAACAGAGCCATCGCTCATTCATCATTAGCATTTTACAGACATCCTCTAATGAGCAGGACCAAACCTCGTGACAGATTCTAACAAAACCAAACTGTGTCCAGTCCTGACTTTGGGAACAAATACCTGAGACGAGGCATTTGAAACAGGTTTTCCATATTATCCATATTCAGACAGTGGAACGCAGCCAGGAAGCTGGTGGAGTCAGAAGAAGAATCTGTGTTTGGGATATTACATCACTGAGTGCATTCACTTCACACACACACACACACACACACACTAAACAAGAGTATTCCCACACAGCGTTCGTGTCACGTCTTTGCTCTCTGTCCTCGGGGCTCGGACTGACAGATGTTTTCTAACAGGTTCCACATTCGGCTTCCAGATCAACAAACGCTGACACACTCGTGAAGCTCCACACAAGCAACAAGCTCGTGAACTGCATGTCCACAGAGCTAACGCGCACAGACGTTTTTAGAAAGAAGTGTTTTTCCCACATTTTATTTGTGCACATCTGCTATGAGCAGATACACCAGTCAGCTGCACGATTCATGTGCAGAGCGAGTGAGGCTGATCGCCATGTGACAACGCGGCGTTCTGCAGGGCGTTCTGCCCTTCATGTGGCATACATCTCATTGCACCCCACCCACCTTAAAGACTTACAACCAAATAATGAATGAGAAGTCAATACTGATTCTATGTGAAGTGATGGAAACCAGTCGGCGTGTGTACATGATGTCAGGTTAACCTATAGCAAAGGCCACAGCACCTGTTCTCATAGCACACCTCACATCTCCCACGTGGAGATGTCACCATAACCTTTATTGGACCTGGATAGAGTGCGAGCGTTCTCACGCACGCCTCGATCGCCTCCGTCCTCCCATCCAACTCCGTTCTTCCTCGCTGGTGTTATTTAGATTCTGCCTCTGGGTCCTTACTTCCTGCTCGGTCATTAAAATGCAGCCCACATTGCCCTCTGGTTTATTTTCTGCTACTGTGGGCACAGAAATTGGTTATCAACAACAATTACCCGTCAACCCTGAAGGTAAAAACATGTATATTGTAGCTTTTAATGACGAGTGTGGGTGAAGAGGGGAGCTTGCAGAAACACGATGAAGCAAAGGCTGAGAAGAAAATAAGAGAATAAAAATGTATGGAGTGGAATTAATTCACGATATAAGAACTGGCAGAACATGCTGACCTTGTTATTCCCGACGGACTCGCCGTGCACCGTTCATATAATTGCATTATCCAAAATATTTCTTACATCAATCTCGCTATTCTTAGGTGAGTTTGGCTGCCGTTCAGATGTAATAAATTTATGCTTTTAACTCACGGCGAGAATGGACAGCTGAACAACATGGAGGCTGCGAGTCTAACCAATCAGAGAGGAGTTTCAAAATTCAAGCTGCGTTCGGGAGGGTTTTATAAACCACACTCACATTCCACCATTAAAGTTTCTCAGCATCCTTGAGACCAAATAATTGGCTTTTCTATGTTTCTTTACTCATAAAACATTTGTGAAAGCTATTTTTGGGGTTTCTTTTTTCTGTCTGGCTGCCAGAAGCCATCTTCTTCCTGTTTTTGGCAGTTTGCTGCACATCTTGGCACTAACTGTAGATCGCTGGAACAGTGTCGTCGGCAAAGTGTGCCTCACCACAACACAGGAACACTGATACTAAGCCTTAAAAACACAGATCCATGATGGCGTCTTTAAGTGTTTAAAACCTGCACGAAGCTGCTGTGTTTAACCCTCCTAAGAAAATCAAACAGAGTTGGATTTTTCTTTCTTTCGGTCACTTAAAATATTTCCCGTCTCACAGATGCTCGGATGGAGGGTGATCATATCGTAACATTGTGGATAATGAGTCCAGTGTAATTAAAAGCTCAGTTTTTTCTATTCTTGACGTCAAACGGCAATCAGATTAAAGCTGTTTAAGTGCCCCGCCCCTCGGTAGGCTCTTTTATGGAAGCCTGTTTCCACCACTAAAAACAAAAGGATCCATAACTCAAAATTTCGAGTTCTTTTCTCGAAATTTCGAGTTACTTTTTCAAAATTTCGACACATTACCTCGAAATTTCGATTTATTAACTCAAAATTTCGACTTATTAACTCAAAAATTTGAGAAAAGTAACTCGAGTTAGCACTGCCAATCAGTAATCTACGTGAATGACGTCATTTCCTTGTTACCCGGAAGCTGAAGCCCTCAGCTACAACAGCTAAGCTGCCGGTATTACATCCAGTCGTGAATGCACAGATTGCTGAGTGTTTTCAGCCTGGCTTCACAAATGATGAAACCCCTGTGTTATTAGCTGAATCACACGGTGTTACTATCAGCAAACGTACTCGCGAAAGCGCCAATTTGTTGGGATCCGTTTTTGAGTGCGCGCTCCTCTGCGCCATATGCTTCCGGGTAACAAGAAAGCGACCTCATTCACGTAGATTTTTGATTGGCAGAGCTAATTCGAAATTTTGAGAAACTTTTCTCGAAATTTGTTTTTATTTAGTGGCGGAAACGGGCTTCCATACTCTTTAGACCAGCAGGATAAACACAACAAAATAAAATGATACGACCAAGACAAAAACTGTGGTATTCTGTAAATATAATAATAAACGTGAATTTACTGTGTAACTGTGCAACTTTATTAGCAGCGTCCTCCTGAAATGTGCCAACAACATTCAGAGTAACATCCTCCTCTCTGCCCCTTAATGCTCTCTGGTTGCTATGGTAATGCGTAAATATTTCTTTCAAAATAAGGCGCACAACTACAACATGGGAAAGACCCAGGGAAACAGAGTTCACGATAAAAAGCCTGAAAACCATAAATTTCACACCAGAGCCTCAACTCTCGCAGCCCCGTGGCCCGGGGCTTGGGGACCGCTGCCTTAGAACGACCTGCTCTTTTACAAACGTTAGTACAGGCGGACTGTGTGGCTACGCATTTTATATACCTGTGGTAAACTTGTGGCTATAGCTCATATTTCCACCGTCTGAATGTTCATTTGTGTCGTGGTCAAAAACGAGTCCGATGGCGCTCGTGTCCCATCACGAACTGACTCAGCTGGCAGTTTAGGGATCGATGACTATCAAGAGACCTGCCATCATGTCAGTCAAGATATTTCGGGCCACGGGCCCAAAACGGTGACAGACTGATGTCGCCATTTTTTGGATACTCAGGGGGGGAAAGCGACACTGTTTTGATTGTGAATATTTCCTGGAAGGTCAGGACGGTTTAGCAGCGACGCACGAGCCTCCGCCTGCTCGCTCCGTCTCATCCCTCTCGCTGAGCTGTCTGATGAGGTTACATCGTGACCTCGACCCATCGCGCCGCAGCAGTCGGCCCGGGGGGACGGTACAGGGGGATGACGATGATGAAGGCTGACTCACATGACTGACAGCTACACAAATGTGCGAGAAGCTCAGCGCGACTGAGAGCAGAGAGGCAGACGACACGCTGAGGAAATCATACAGACACGAGGCCCGGGGAGAACTGTGGCTGTAAACAAAGCGTCCTGTTGACTTTAGACAGTTAGCCTTTTTTCTCCTTCGTCTCATACGTGACATCACACAGGTCAGGACTTTTGATCACTTCGTCTGTCTGAGGAACGAAGGCAGACGCTGCAGGAAGCATCCGCTGCACGTAACAAACTGAAATACTGACTGACATCCAAAAGCATCAGATCAGAACTGCATTCAAAGGGAACAGTTGTACTGTGCTAACCTCAACTCCAGGTTTGAAACACACACACACCTGCAGGCTTAACCCTTTCACCACGACTTTAGAGCAGCCAACACACAGTACGACATACAAGTTAGGATAATCTGACTGCTGAGCTTGCTGCTAATCATCATCAGTGTCCAACGACCCAACGGGGATACACAGTCATGCATCACAAGACTTTTTAACCTCTTTGACACACAAGGTCTTGAATAAGATAAGAACAGATAGATCTTTATGTCACTGTAACCAGAATAATGACCTCTCTCCGTTGGCAGCATGTAGGTCGAATAACCAGAACCCAACATATCCTTAAGATCTCATAGCCCCCTGTTGTCCCTGAACCTGGTAAAAGGGAGTCCTTCCACTCCTGGAAGAAACCCCCAACCCCCCCGTGACCGTTTAGCTTCAGCCCATGTTGGATGTTGACAGGCTAAAGTTGCAGCAGGCAGTTTGGTAGTTTTTAGTTTGTGTAAGTTTTGTGGAGTTGCTCTACAGCTGACTGCTGTATGGATTGCTTGCATCTTTTTGCATCACTCCTAGAGCGGTGCTTCTGCTTTTATTCAGCAGTTGAAAGCACAAAGTCAGATGGGAAACATGTCAAGAGAGAGAAAAGCTAGATATAACAGGCTGGGAAACAAGTGAGTGTCTGTTGGGCTGCAGTGTAAATGTGTTCTGTGGTTTTGACAGCAGCTGGTTTCTGATACCCAGGATCAGCACAATCACTTCTGCTTGGTTATCAGTGTTTAACCGTTTCTGCACAGACCCGCTAAACAAATCACGTGAGAGCAGTTTTACTCATTACTGAATCATCTTTCTTTTTTCCACAGGTTCGTAAAACTCCACAGAGAAAACTTTTCAGACTTTACTGAAGTTTTTTCTTTATATTTTAGAAACGTTCTCAGTCAGCTGCAAGAAGAGAATGAGCTCGACCTCGGTAAACCATCAAGATTACCCCAATCAAATGTGACATCCATGTGCTCAGCTAATCACTGTTTATTCATTTTAATCTCATGCGGTTATTATTTAAAGGTTAATTTTTGCATAATGATGTTACAATGTATCAGCTATATATTATCTGTTACACTTTTTAAAGGCAGTCAAATTAAAACTGAACAAATCACGCAACTCCGAGCGGTCTTAGAGGTAACTCGCCTGAGTTTGAATTGGCCCACACCTCTGAGCAGGTCTACCAACATCCAGTGGAGACCAGTTAAGAAGAATAAATAACCAAATAAATAAATATTGTATCAACAGCCTCCAGCCAGTTCTGTACCGAGGAGCCAGCACATAA